CACAAGGTCTTCATTCTCACAGTCCCTGCGTCTGCCTTCCAAGACTTGGGTGGTTTGGTCAGAGCCTTTGACAGTGAAGATGGAGGCAAAGAAGTCATTCAGAACCTCAGCCTTCTCCAAATCCTGTGTAGCCAGTTCTCCTGAGAGCTTCCTGAGGGGGCCTACATTTTCCCTAGTCTGTTTTTTATTTGCTATGTACCTGTAGAATCCCTTCCTGTTATCTTTAATACCTCTAGCTAAGTTTAATTCTAACTGGGCCTATTAATTCTAACTCTTACCTAGTTTTCATCTTTTCTTTCTCTGTGCCTGTTTTCTACAAAACACTTTTCCTGAGACAGGAAAGTCAACACTTTTAGTGTTTAGCAAAGCTAACATAGTCCTTCTCAAGTTCTCAAAGAGGAATATATAAACGAGGGACTTGGGGTGTTTTTCTTTCTTTTTCTCCCCAAACAGTCTCCCTGTGAAGTTCCTCCAACCTACCTCCAATAAAATCTGTGAGGCTGCTGTAGTCTGTCATTATTGTGCCTGAACCCTTTTGCAGCAGCCAGTAGTTCAGGGAGGAAGAGGGATTTCCACAGCAAGGGGTGGGGAGAGCAAATGATGCACAGAACAAGAAAATGTTGTATTCTGTGTGTGTGTTATTTGGATGCTTGGGGTCTCCACTAAGGGTGCTGTTCAGGGAAAAGGGGTCATTGTTTTTTCAAACCTTAGTCAGACTGTAACTAACCTAAGGAACTATTTCATGAAGATTATGTGTAGATGTTAGTTGTCTGTCCTAATGGGTGATTCTTACTGTGATTTCAGGGAGCAGCTTTGCCCTTTAGGATGCTCACAACAAATCAGAGCAACCACTTACCAGCTTTAGGAGACAGAGTCTTGCCAGCATTAAGGTCTTGGCTTCAGTGCTGCCTGGCAGAAATTTAGTGGAGACTCTTGGATTCAGGAAATGATAAATTACAAGTTGTGCTATGAAGGAGTGCATTACAAAAAGCTGCCTTTATCAAGTAGAACAAACCTGACTTCTAGCTATTAATTTTACATTGATGTTGCTCAGTGCCCAAACGTGGCTGTGGCCCATGTGATTCTAGCTGGTATCTGGCTATTTTGTGTGTCGGAGTGGTTTAGTGCTGCCATTCCTTGATAAAAGTGAAATGTATGGAAAATGGAGTTGATCTGAAGTTGGTAGTGTGTCTCAGACAATATTGGTGTCTATCAGTTGACTTCCTTTTCTGTTGCCCTCTCTTTTACAAATTTGATGATACTTTGGAGGAGTCTTACTTTTAGCACTTAATTCAGATTTTTACTCTGTAAGACACCCTTTTTCACAATCAGTTATGGTTCTTTTGTCTACCTGACATTTTCCTACAGTTTCTTCCCAAGTGTTCATTTGTGAAACAAGTCCAGTTTTCACAGCAACATTGATAAAGATTCAGCAGACCCCAGAGGCGAGCCCTGTCCTGTGTTACTTCAGTATAAATCCAACAGTTAGCTTGCTTACCACAGCAAATCTGAAGGAGCACCAGTAAAGAGACAAGACTGAGCACTGGCTGCAAAGGCAATCCTTTGCATGGAGATTTTGTACTATTGCAAGTTGAACTCTTTAGTGCTGCTCTGAGCATCATTCAGATGGAGAAGCTCATCACTCTCTGTCTTATAAGTGTCTGCAGTTTAATAGTGGGGTGTATACAACAACATTTGCACTCTGGGTCAAGAAATGCACATGAAATTGATTTTTTGTAAGTGTGAGGAGTCCTTCTGACTGGACATTATCCCTGCCTGCAAGTGTTTATACCATTGTGCCTGAAATCCTCTTCATCCACAGATGAATGTATCACCAAGTCATAATGTGGATACACTGGATGCTGTGGCGTTATGCACAGGACTGCTTTTGTTACTTCTTTGGTTGTTTTCATTAGACATGGAAAACTTTGGATGCATTTTAGTGTTTAGGGTTTGAGTTCCCTCTGTGACTGGCTGCAGCTCTCCCCCTTGCTGAGGAATTTGCTGAAATGGCTTGGTCAAAAACCCCCAAGTGAAGAAGGAGGTATCTTCTAGTACTCAGTATTGAAAAGTGTAAGAAATGACTGTGGCACATCTGTTGCCACCAGCCCTAGTTTGTTCAAGGTAGCCAGACTTGCTGCAGATGTGATTCCAGTGATATGCCAGGGCAGGATTTGAGCCTCCAATTTTAGAAGCCTTGTGTGTCTGTAATTAGAAATAACTAAAGTGGAGGAGTAGGCTTATGTAATTAAACTTGCAATGGTATTTATGTTGCCCTGCTTTGATGACCATGTTAACATCTCTTACAGCGTTTTATGCTTTTCTTTAAACATACAGGTATCTGAAGTTAGGTGATTGTGTGTCAGTCCCAGCTGCTGGTGACAGAGCAGGGCTGCATCTCACTTCCATAGCTGCAGGAAACAGGTTGTGAAAATGTTGGTGCAGTTTCTGTAACTCAAGACAGCGATGGAAAGAGAAAGGTTTTTCCTTTTTAAAAAGTAACAGGAGCTTTCAAGCCAGCTGTGGGGCTCACTTTTGACTTTCTAAATGGCTGGGGTTGGCAAGAACAGGATTAGGTGGTGCAGCAGCCATCTGGCTCTCAAAGTGTGTTCCCTTGTGAGAGATACTTCTGTCACATCACCAGAGTTCTTCTTGGCTTTGGTGTATCCTCACTTCCATCCATGTGTCTGCTTCCCCACTGCAACACACAAAAATACCTGTTTTGTTTAAAAGTCTCATGAAGAACATCACCTTTTGAGCCTGGGTGGGTAAAAAGACTAAAGCAGATGTAGTGTTGACCAAAAAAAAAATGTATTGACCTGTGTCTGCTTGTGGCACACATCAGCCTTGGTTTGCACAGGCAAAAAGTAAGTGTTTTTCCTTGTGATTTGTGCTTCCATCTGTTCATTACTTCCCTTTCTTGTCGGACATCATCAACCACCTGAAAAGAAGCAGGCTGGCAGGTGAGTGTGTGGACAGACATTCAAAGGGTGGCATCGTGGCTGCCATGGGGTGGCCATGTATGGAAAACACTGTTGGTAATACCCATCAGTATCAATACCTTTGTTGTAAGCATTCAATAAAATACAAAGCTTTTGTACAAATACAAGGTCCTGCACCAGGATTGGGGCAATCCGAGGCACAGCTACAGGCTGGGCAGAGACTGGATTGAGAGCAGCCCTGAGAAGGACTTGGCATGTTGGTTGCCGAGAAGCTCAACATGACCCAGTAATGTACACTTACAGCCCAGTAAGGCAGTCTTATGCTGGGCTGCATTAAAAGGAGCATGGCCAGCAGGTCGAGAGAGGTGATTCTCCTCCTCTACTCCACTCTGGTGAGACCCCACCTGCAGTACTGCATTCATCTCTGGAGTCCTTAATGCAGGAAAGATGTGGACCTATGGGAGAGGGTCCAGAGAAGGGCCATGAATAGGATCAGAAGGATGGAGCATCCCTTGTATGAGGAAAGGTTGAGAGCGTTGGGCTTGTTCAGCCTGGATAAAAGAAGGCTCTGGGGAGACCTTATTTTGGCCTTTCAGTACTTAAAGGCGGACCTATAAGAAAGATGGGGAAAGACTTTTTAGCAGGTCCTGTTGCGACAGGACGAGGGGTGGTGGTTTTAAACTGAAAAAGGGGAGATTCAGGCTGGATGCAAGGAAAAAAAAATTTTTATACTGGCACAGGTTGCCCAGAGAGGTGGTGGATGCACCATGCCTGGAGACATTCAAGGCCAGGCTGGATGTGGTTCTGGGCAGCCCGATCTCATTGAGGATGTCCCTGTTCATTGCAAGGGGGCTGGACTTGATGACCTTTAAAGGTCCTTTCCAACCCAAACTATTCTATTATTTTGATTCTAAAGCTAGTTAATAAATATCAAGAGAGCCCTCTTATTTGTAGTTGCTCAGGGCTTGATTTTGTTGCCATTTCTATCAGCTGAAGAGGTCTTACATGAACTATTGACTGTATCCATGAGTTACCACCTTCTGAACTTCTTGCAAAATACTAAGCACTGTACTCCAGCCCTGCAAACGACTCTGCAGGAGGGTCAGCTGGTGTGTTAAAGTGGATGATTATGCTGATAAATTAAATGGTGCATTTACATATGGTGTTATTTCACTCTTGGGATAGCTGGCATTTTACAAGGCAACAGTTAGCACTACCTTGAGTAGCTTTGTGTGTCTGTGGCTCGTTTACCTCAAAACTCGGTGAAAGTACGAGTGACTTTGGGGATTCTGAAGTGGGACAAGAAGATTCCTGAGTCTCCAAAGGGCAGGAACATACTGATCAACATTCACAGGTTTCTCATGACTTAAGTGGCTATGGGGTTATCTGCTTTCTAAATGAAAAATGATGCTGAAAGAACTGCATGCAAAATAAGGCAAACTTATTTCAGATAAGCAGATTTTTTTCTTTTTTCCGTTTACAGATAAAAACATTTCTGCTGTTCAGAATAGCAACAAGTAGAAGCTCTTTGAAATAAAGCTTATTTGAGATTTGGCATCCTTGTCCATAGTAGATGAATTGTCACTACACTAAAAACGAAATCTTTTCTGCCCTTGTGGGTTTGTTTTTTTTCTAAAATTGTACCACACCATTGTGTTTGTGTATCTTCAACATTTGGGATCATCTACAGGGACTGTAAATTCAGTTGCTGAAGAAACAAAAAGTCAAGCTTGCCCTGTTAGCTGCGTGTGCTTCTTTCTGTCGTTTCTTCCTGCACAGCAGTGGCCTGCAAATACACATGAAACAGAAAGTATGAGCTGATCAGATTAAATTACTGTAAATGTTGTGGCTGTGGAAATGATACTGTGTAATTACCCCTTTAATTCCTTCCTGTAGATACATTTTTATATGCTCAGAATTACTAAAGCCTTTAAGACACTGTGTAGCCAGTTTTTAGCCTTTGTGCATTTCAAATTCATGTAATCTGCCCTTTGTTTATTTCCCCTGACATGTGTAACCATTGCTATTAAACCTTTGTTTTGAACCTTTTCATTATAGATGCCAGACCAGTTTGATCAGACAGTGGTGCTCAACCAGCTGCGCTATTCTGGGATGTTGGAGACAGTCAGGATTCGGAGGGCTGGTTTCCCGGTCCGGAGGCCCTTTCAGGACTTTTATAAAAGGTAATCACAGTGACTTGTGCACTTCAGATGAAAGTCACAGGTACCAAATCAGTGTTTCCATGTTGGGGAACAAAGTGAAAATCTAATAAGAAAAAGAAATAATCTGGTAATGATAGAACTTGTCTCCTGAATGAAGTAATAAGTGTTTTGGGGTTCACAGGTATAAAGTCCTCATGAGAAACTTAACTCTGCCCGAAGATGTAAATGAGAAATGTGCTGTCCTACTTCGTCTGTATGACAACACAAGCACTGAATGGCAGCTTGGAAAAAATAAGGTAAAATAATCTGGCTGTGCATATTGTGGGGCTGGTGCTTTTACAAACCTGAGGGGACAGGTTTTATGCTGCACAGCTGCAGAGGACCTACTGGACAACCTGAACTTTGCTCACAACTTCCTCCTGTTCCTCCTGTTCCTCCCTCCCCCCCCCCCAAATAAATCAAATAATTTTTATTAAAATAATGGTATTTTAATTTGAAAAATGAAACAATCCAGGTGTATTTTCAAGCTTGTTTTGAAAGTTGGATTTTAGACAACAGCTGTGTGCAGAGTTTCCCTCCTTGTGAATTCGTGCTTTTGGACTTGCATGATGTGAAAGCATGTTGTACTCAGGAGAAGATTTCCCATTGCATGATCTGAGATTTCCTAAATATTAAAAATGCATGGTGCAAAGAACTAGAGAGTGCATTACAAATCATCACTGCCAGGGATCATCCCCCAGGCCTCTGCAGATGGCTTTCTCGTCTTTTTTGTTTTCCCCTAGGTAACTCCTTTGGTGCTCCCAGGTCTTCTGTAGTGGAGAGAGGACAAAAAGGTCCAGAAATAGTTTGCTGAATTATGTGTTACACTTGCAGTTTTCTTGTCAATTGTTAGAACTGTGGGGGAAAAAACAACCCTAACCTCTCACTACCATAAAGTAGCAGTAATATTTTGTAAAATCTGATTGATTTCTGTGTGAAGTGCCCTTCCTTTTCATCCTGGTCTCCCCACACCTGCATCATTTGGAGGGTTTCCTCCATTCTTCTGCACACTTTAAGGACTCTCAGAGGAAAAGCTGATTTGTTTTACAGTTATTGTAAGAGATAGAATCTGAAATATGCTGATGTCAATTGAAGTCATCTTTCATCCCATTTTTGTAGACAATGGCATACAAATAATACAGTGATAACATCTGGCTGCAGAGCTAGGCTGTGCTTCCCATTATACTTCCAGATGTAGTGCATTAAGGGTATTCATGCATGGACCCTGAGCAGTGCTTTGGCATCTTAGGGACATATATTTATCAGAACCTGAAATTGTTTTAACCGGTAGATCAGGACCTCGGCAGGAGCCAGAGCTCTGTTATAACTTCCTTTCCTGGGACCTGAGCTCCTCCTCCTCTGGAGCTGCCTGTACATTTGTAAGAGTCTTCATAAAGAGCTTCTTGTAGAAGAGAACAAGAGGGCATTGGTTTCATACCGAACATGGGATGATGGGGCACTATCCTGCCCACATTATTTAAAAGGGGGATTTACAACATTGTGATGATTTAGCTTCAGTGTGATTTTTTTTTTTTTTTTTTTTTTTACTTGTCTTTTACATCTCAAGCTGCAGTGCACCTGCTCAGCAAAGCCTGGGCTTAACACGGGCTTAACATCCATTTTTGGTCAGGAAATAGCTGAATGCCTTTCTGAAGCAGAATTTTGTTGTGGTTTTAAAGCCAGTGTGTGCAGAGCATGGAAGGATTGCCCACTGAGTGAAAGAAAAGGCTTTGTCCATGAGTAAAAGCTTGATATAGAAAGAGCTGCTCGGTGCAACTTGTTATCTTGGAACTCTGAGACTTCCTGTGGGCCTTTTCACGTTCCTTAGTATTAGGAGATTTGTGGTAAAATGTAGTTGCTTTCGAGCTGCATTCGAAACTCACAAGTGTGCCTCTCCTCAGGTACGCTGCTGCTTTGGCTTTGATGATGGGCTTTTTTTTCCCCAAATACAGAGGAATAAACCACCTTTTTTTCTACTTGAACACCTTAAAAAGTCCAGGGTTTGAGTTGTTTTGTTGTTGTTTGGTGCTTTTTGGTTTTTTTGGTTGGTTGTTTGGGTTTTTTTCATAGCAAGAAAAAACTCAAAACACTTTCAGGAAGCATTCGTGCTTTTAGATGTTTTTGCAGCCCTCCTCCCTTAGCAGAGCCCCTACTGTTCACACACTTTCCTCATCACCACACTGTGCTGATGATACTGTAAAACACCTAAAGTATCGGGTGATATTTCTGCCTCTCGACTCAGGAAGTTCAAGCTAAGTCCTACAAGTTCTTTGGCCTGTGTTACCCTTTGGTGGGAAAAGGCTGTTTAATGAATTCTGTTGCTTTTGAAAAAACCCTGCTCCTAATATAAAATTCACTTTAGTGTAATCAGGCTCTTTCCACTGAAATCCAAAGTTAGAGCATCATCTGCTGGTATTTTCTTCTAAGAGGAATTCATTTTGGCTTTTAATTCTCTGTTGAGGAAATGGTATGTTTGTCCCTGGATTCAAACCTTAGGCTTGTAGCTTGGTCTGACATTGGCAGCACCCTGCTGTCCTTTATATACAATGCTTTCTGCAGTTTGTTAAGCAAATTTTCTCATGTAGGTGTTTCTCCGGGAGTCCTTGGAACACAAGTTGGAGAAACAGAGAGAAGTGGAAGTCACCAAGGCAGCAATGGTTATCCGAGCGCACATCTTAGGTTATGCAACCCGGTAAGTGACTAGATAAGAATATGAATAAACAGGCTTTGAAATAAATGGGTGGAGTGTCATGGAGCTAAATCCTTCTGGTGCAATACTTAACTTTTTCTAGGGACCAGGCACCCAAATCCTGTAATTGACTTTTGAAAATAGCAGCTGTTATCTTTGCCAGACCCATGAATAAAACACAGTGGAGTTTGAATAGGATGTTATGGAAGTTTGGAGGTCAGCCAGTATCCATATAATTGTATCGTGGCATTAGATCCATGGTAGGAACTCTGAATGGATGGCACCTAATGGGGCTGCCCCAAGTCACCAGCTGAGATTCTGATTAATCTTTGCTTCAGCATGGTCAGAAAAGAGTTTGGGTCTTAAAGAACTATGACATGAGGTAACTGATTGCTGTTTCACTTGTTTACCTGGCTTCATGCATGACATATGAGGTGGAATGGCTCATCCCATATGTTTATTTCTTTGCTTTTTCTGCAGATCAGTTGAGGACAGTTTAAGGAAACTTGTTCACGCAATGAGGTCATTTCTTTTCATGTGTATATTAGTCCTGTCCTTATATTCTCCAGTATATTACTTAAAAACTATATTGCTTTTTTTTAATGACAGAGCTATCCTGCAGCTCATTGTTTTTATAGTTGTGGGATGACTATCTCTGTATATTGTTTCTCCACATGGGTGCACACACACAGAGCTCTCCTTTTAGCATCTCCTTGTCAGGGCACAAGAATATGTAAGACAGGTGTAATGTGCATTTATTAATGAAGACACAGTGCTCACATAGAAATGAAAGAATCTCTTCTCAAATTGAGGAGAATGTGAAGGAGAATGGGGAAACCATCACAGAACTAGAACCACTGAATTGTTTTACTATCATGGGCTCATTATTGCAAATCACCATGGCAAAACCTCTTGCCACTGCTCATTAATTCCTTGTTTCCTTAGAAATCTGCTATTTTTTTCCCAGGAAGCGGTATAGAAAGGTTCTCTACTGTGTGGTTGTGATACAGAAGAACTACAGAGCATTCAGTGGTAGGAAAAAGTTCCTGTGCCTGAAGAAAGCAGCCATAATCCTTCAGAAGCAGCGGCGAGGCCAGCTTGCTCGGCGTGTTTACAGAGAGCGACTAGAGGAGAAGCAGAGACAAGAGGAGGAAAGAAGAAAAGAGGAGGAAGAAAGGTGCAGTATGCTATCTTGCATCACTCTCCTGTCTGTGCCATACCAGGTTTTGGTCTGAATAGCCTTTATTTCAGGTTAATTGTTATCAAGTGATTTTGGAAACCCTTGCATCTTGTGCTAAAATATGCCTGTAGTTTCATATTCACAAACATATTCTTAGTGACCTTATTTTTGTCTGTCTTTTCCATATGGCAGATGGTCTTTGCAAACTGAGCTATTGCCCTAGCAAAGGTGTGTGATGAGCTTATATTGAGCTTGATTTACTAACTTCTTTTCTTCCCTCACTTTTAGGGAAAGACAAAGGCAAGAAGCAGAGCGTCTTGCCCAGCAGGTAAATTACATTCTTTATGCTTTCAGCCATCCTGTTTATTTGAGTATCTCAACCCAGCCATTAGAAAACTAAAAGGCATCTGTGGCATTTAAACTAAACTTATTACAGGAGTTGGCAGATAAAGCAAAAGGAAACTTGATACAGTTGTTTGCATGGAAATCTCTTTCACCTCATGCTTCATTTAATTTCTGGCAAAGACTGAACTTTCTGCACGTACTTGAGCCTTCCTGTATCTGTGAGCAAATGTAATCATGCTATAGTTTTTCTTCTTCTTTCCTTTTGCTTTTGATGTAGGGATAAGGGTCCTTTTAAATGGAACAGCATGGTGGGAACATAGTGCTTTTGAAATAAATAAGTGTAAAAACAGGAATCTTGCATTGAAGTACTTTATTTAAGGGGTTTTGTTTTTTTTCCATTTATTTTATTTTGAATGCAGGCTGAAGAAGAGAGAAAGAAGCAGGAATTGGCTGCCATTCAGAAAGCCCAGAAGGAGGCAGAGCTGAAGCAAGAGGTAGAGAAGCAGAAAGAAAGCAGGCAGGTGGAAGAAATCCTGCGGCTGGAAAAAGAAATTGAAGACCTGCAGCGTGTGAAGAAGCAGCAGGAGCTGTCCTTGACAGAGGCTTCATTACAGAGGCTGCAGCAGCTTCGAGATGAGGAACTCCGGCGGCTTGAGGACGAAGCATGTCGAGCAGCCCAGGAGTTCCTGGAATCCCTGAACTTTGATGAGATTGATGAATGTGTCCGAAACATTGAGAGGTCTCTCTCTGTGGGCGGTGGGTATCCTGCTGAGCTCACTGAACAGACTGGAAATGCCTGCAGTGAAAAACCCAATTTTAACTTCAGCCAGCCATATCCTGAGGAGGAGGTAGATGAGGGCTTTGAAGCTGATGATGATGCATTTAAGGATTCGCCCAACCCGAGTGAGCATGGCCATTCTGATCAAAGGACCAGTGGCATCAGAACAAGCGATGACTCCTCAGAAGAGGATCCCTATATGAATGATACCGTGGTGCCAACAATTCCTGCTGCTAGCAACACCATGCTTATACCTCCTGCCCATGATACAGTCAGTCTCCACAACTCTTCAAGTGGTGAATCCACATATTGCATGCCAGAAAATGTATCATGTAGACCCCCAAATTCTGTGGAACTTATTTCTCCTGATGGAGACTATGATTATGACCAAGACGATTATGAAGATGGTGCTATTACTTCTGGTAGCAGTGTGACCTTCTCTAATTCACACAGTAGCCAGTGGTCACCAGATTACCGATGCTCAGTTGGGACATACAATAGCTCTGGAGCATACCGGTTCAGCTCCGAAGGAGCTCAGTCTTCTGTAAGTATCACTGTTTTTATTATCTAATAATTGATATGTGCTTCCTGATTTCCTTTTTCCCACTGTGCAGCCTTAGAATCACTGTAGCTGTTGTTACAAATGTCTGCGTTGTGCAGTTTGACTTGCTTAGACTGTGTATGGCTGTAGTTGTCTGTTGCCATCTAGATGCCACTGGGGTGAGTGCATTAGAGTTAGAAGCAGCTCAGATGGTGCTTGCAGTACTTAGCTTATGCAAGGATATGGTTCTATCTGTTTTAATGCAGAACTTCACATTTGGTGAGGAGCTCAGTGCATGGCCTTGGACATAATTCATAAGTAAAATTCTTCTCTGTGTGTTATTTGGAGTTAAGGTACCAGGTGGGGAATTGATTTCAGGAAGTAAAAAACAGATTCTGTTATGCATGCAAGTTGCTACAGTATGAGGGATTAAACTGCTTACAGAAGTCCCTGAAATGCCAGATGTATTTCAAGATTACTTGGAGAGTAAGTTTCACATGATGACAAATGTTAAAATTATTTAGGCAGACACTCATACTGGGAAGTTGGTTTTCAGTGTTGTTACTGAGTAGTATACTATGGGATTTACTCCTGCAAATGTTTTTTTGGAAGAATATAATTTCCCCTGCTACTCACAGAATACTTCTGTGAGACTGGTTGGGAAAGTAAAAAACTATTCCAGCAACACCAACTTACTTAGAAGGAAAACACACTAAAATATATGTAGTTGATGTACTGAAAACCAGTCATCAAAGAGCCATCCTGGTCATTGGGTTAAATTGACATTTCTTGCCTAAGACAGAAACACTTTTAGCTGTCTCTGTTGAGGACTCCTCCCTGTTGCACAGCTCTGCATGTGTTTGATACAGAACAGAAATTCTGGTTATTTGGGGTGAGAATGGAGGAAAGCTACTACTGCAGCTTGTGGAATATGTTTGTTTTTCAAGACTGTTCTAAACTGTTGCTCACAGCACATCAGTGATAGAGGGAGGTTGCACAAGGTAGCATAACTTGGCCATGCTCTTGCAAGGAGATAACTTTCCTGAACAGTTACAAAGCTGGTTTATAGATTTGTTACATGAAATTAGGGCTAGTGTATAATCAGTTCAAGCTGCACCTTACTATGATGTACTCCTTCATTAGGTGGGCAAAAAGCAATGAGGAGTCGTGCCCTTCCAAGACTTCTAAACCAGTTTTATCTAAACCCTACCCTGAGAGATCATTTCACCTTTATTTCCTCTTTTCTCTAGTTTGAAGACAGTGAAGAAGACTTTGACTCCAGGTTTGATACAGATGATGAACTTTCCTACCGGAGGGATTCAGTCTACAGCTGTGTCAGCCTGCCCTACTTTCACAGCTTTCTGTACATGAAAGGTACTGGGTGAATCAGAATTTGCTAAATATACAAAATAACCAGAAATGTTTATTATACCTTGAACTTCAATTCCTGTACAGTTAAGCTATTTTCTTATTTTTCAAAGAAGGGTGGAAAAGTAACTTAAATTTGAGCTGTTCTTAAATTAAGTTACTTGCAGTGGCTTACATCTAGCAGTGTTTGTCCCCTCTGCAAAGGAACATCAACACTTTGGGCTGCCTCTGTTTCATTTTACATCTTTGCTGGCTCATAAGCAATTGAATATCCAGTATAAATAGAACAAAATAACTCACGAAGTCAAGTTGTGCCAAACTTTGAGGAAAACTAATTCCTGCTCCCAAAACCCTGTAACATAGGCAGCATTCTGCATCACAGGCCAGTTTTACTGACCTCAGTTGACTTTCATATTGGACCTGAAAGACGTAAGAAAGGGTGTGTGTGGCAAAGGGGCATGAGAAACTGAAAGCATATACACAGGAACTCTCTGGTTAAGATTCTTGGTCTTACCTTCTGATGATTGATAGTAAATTACCATTTAGATGAATCTTTGGTACCCATCACTGTAGTATAACTTATTTTCCTGGAATAGGAACAGTGATGAATGTGGGTACAGCTATGTTTGTGTGAAAAATAATGCAGGCATCACTAGCAGGGCTTTTACTTTCTGACATAGTTAGCAGTAATGTTAGCATTCATTGTGGAATGACAGGAGTGTATTGGCTTGCTTATGGTTTTGATGGCTGTGATGTAACTACAGTGCAAGGTGTATTGTCTGCCTTACAGCCACACTTTGGTATGACTGACCTCACCTTAGTGTATTTCCTACTCTTAAGTATAGCTTTTTCAGGTTTTGTGGGTTTCAGTTGAATGTTGTTACCCCCAAATAACCTGAAGAGAGGACAGAGTTTAACACTAAAGTTTTCTTAGATTGTCACTGAGATACATCAAAAACAGTGTTAAAGATCTGATTCTCAAGTGCAGTAAGACTTTTTAATAATTTATTATTAATATATGTTATGTATAAGTATATATAATTATATAGATGCTACATACATGTTTTTGTTATGTAGAGACTTACTGTAATCTATAAGGTAGACAGCAATATTGGTGGCCTTAAGGATACGCAAAAGTGAAATCTTTGGTTTTGTGGCCTATAGCAGAGACTCAGTTTAAGTGTAGCATTGTTGGTCAGCATCTTCCAGCGTTAGTTTGGTCACCGCTTCTGTTTTACATTATAATTGTTTCTCTTACCTAGGTATAAACCCACATCTGTCTCTCTTGCCAGGTGGCTTAATAAACACATGGAAGCGACGCTGGTGTGTCCTGAAAGATGAGACCTTCCTGTGGTTTCGTTCCAAGCAGGAAGCACTTAAGCAGGGTTGGCTTCACAAAAAAGGGGGTGGATCATCTACGCTTTCCAGAAGGAACTGGAAGAAACGATGGTTTGTTCTCAGGCAGTCCAAGTTGATGTATTTCGAAAATGACAGTGAAGAAAAGCTAAAGGGTGCCATGGATGTCCGAACAGCCAAGTAGGTTTATATGGGTTTTTGTATGTTAGGCACAGTTCCTCTTAAATACTTCCTGAGTCTTAATCTGGGAAGATGTTTAGTGCCTGCCTTCAAATTGTGTGAATGCAAGCAAAAAAGTGTGTGTGATGAAGTTACTGAAAGCAAGTGTTGTCCTTACTTGGCTCTCTCTTTCATCCCCAGAGTGCTCAGAGCTAAGCCAGTGCCAAATACTTCAGAAAACTGCTCCTATAATGAACCTGTCTATGTTTTCTCCCAGACTAGAGGCCCAATTTAATCTGTAATGATTCCCAAGGCAATTTGGGGCATGTTGCCAAGTCCATAGCTGCAGGCAAACCTAGAATGGAGGGTGGAATTAATAGGCCCTGAATATATTTAAGTTAGTGCTGGTCAAAGCTGTATCTTCTGTATGCATTTATCTTTTTTTTTTTTTCATGTTTGAAATAATTGTGGTAGTGGTAGAAAAGTCTTTAAAATGTGTATATTAATTTTTTAAAAAATTACTAAACCTAACAGTAACTTGCATCAGGTAAGTAACTGAAGTTCCTTGTACCTTAAAATTCTATGCTTCCTGAAAAAAAGTTTTCTAAGGGATGGTATTTTTTCCTTCTGAACAGTCAGTGTGCTTTATGAACTTTTTATTATCCAACCAAATTTGAAAATTAGAGTGTGCTAACACTGGTAGTCTCATTTCTGTATAAAAGTGTGCCTGAGCTTTCTTCAAAGGAAGAGAAAAATAGCAGTGGCTGTAGCACTTCATTCCACTCTGCTTCTTGTAATCTGCAACTATCGTTTTTATTTTGTTAATTTAACAGAGTACTTGAATTAAATTGAAAGCTTACATTAATCTTTTGTTTGGAGGTCCTGGCTTCAGCTTGATTTCAAGCAGGTCAAAGTAAATAGCTTCAGTGAGCATCCTAACTTGCTCTTGTAAAACCAGTGGGCTGCTGACCATCAAGCAAATCTCTGAATAGACACTGAAGTTCCTACCACTCTGTCTCATGTACCATAGCATGTATCTGGCATAGCTTTTTAATATGTTTAAACTGTCTTTTTTCTGTTGTCACCACATTGTTTCATTGACTGTGCCCTAATGAAGTTCATTGCTGAATGTACCTTTTAAAATTGTCAAAGGTTGTTGAACCTAACTGGAACTGTAGGTTCAATCAATGACTATTTGTGTATAAAACAGCTAAAAGAAAGGGTACTTGTATTTAAAGAGCTGCATGTTATGAGAAATAAGCAATAGCTTTTGTATGTAACTTTAATATTCACTGAGTGCATTCCTAACACATCATCTGACTTACATATTTCACCACGCCACATTAGGGACCCTGTGCAAATTAAATAAATCTTGGGCTGATTCATGTAAAACACAGAACAGGGAAGGATTCTGTTGGACACTGCTCAACATAGGGAGGGAAGGAAACCAAATTAAAGAAAACAGGACAGAATTATAGATTGTTGTTTAAATAGCAGATAAATTGTCCTAATGAGCCTGATAAGCAGAGCTTGCATATATTGTTTATAGGATAGAGATTTAAGAGAATGGTATAGCTGATAAGGAAGTATGGCTAGTTAAGGAAATAATAAGCTTCAGACAAATACAGTAAAACAGCAAGAAAGAAATCAAGCTGATCTCTTAAGCTTCAGGAAAACCTAATGTAATACTTCAAATATTCCTTAAAAATCTTGTGCTTTGTGGTTCATGGCTATTTAATATACCAATACTTAGATGTCCAAACTACACATCAGAAAAATGTAATTTTTCAGCAGATGAGTGTTCAGCTTTTTCTGGAAGCCATCTTTGGAATTGTCTTTATGCTGATTCAAAACCACACAGAATCACTAATCCAGGTTTTGTTTGCTTTTTGGTTTTAATCTTCAAGAGCTTTCTTTTTAGCACTCCAAAAATTACTTGGGTGTGTAGCCAGTTGAGAAATATGTCCATTTCTCAACTCAGTCATCCTTGCCTCTCTTGAGGTTTGATAGTGCCTTTTCTTTAAAGGCATTATCTCTTGTTAAAACAGTAACAGAGTAGTCAACTTGGTACAGTGACAGTAATCATAGAATATTTGTATAGAAATGGGCAGAAAACACAGCTACAGTTTGATGAATTAATGCTGTCTGATAAACCGCATTGTGAGCCTTGCTTAAGGCTGATTGCTGTTATTTTAAGTGTCAGTGGTTTGTGAGCCTCTTGGCAGAACAGAATTTTCCAGACATTGACAACCTGTAATACTTGATCTTTGCGCTTTCTTTTTTTCAGAGAGATTGTTGATAATACAGGAAAAGAAAATGGTATCGATCTAATAATGGGTGATAGGACCTACCACTTAATTGCTGAGTCTCCTGAGGATGCAAGGTATGAAATCTCTGTGCCAGTCTGACTTGTGCTTGTCATTCGTTTGTCCACTGTCACAAAACATTCAGGCTGTGTTAAACACGTTGAATTTAACACTTTTGGAAGGCCTAAGAAAAAAATCCCGTGACAGAATATTAGTGGGGAGAGTTAGACTGCCAGTGAAAATTTTCCCCAAATTTGGCTGTTATCCATTTATTACTAGCAACTTTCTGAAACACAGTGTGTCTGTAAAGAGGAAGCCATCAGCCATTGATGCTCATCTTGTATGTTATCCTGCAGTCTTTAGCTGTGTAGATTAAATCAGTATTCAAGATCCTGCAATCTGTCTGAAATAAAGTACTGTTCTTCAGGGATGGGATCTGTTTGCCTAAGCGGAGCCTAAAATGTTTTCAGATAAAAACTATAATAGGGTGACTGGATTTTATGGTGAAAGCATGTTCGTGACTAAGAAGAGCATGCAAGAGAGTTTTTCCCTTTCTGCTTATTTAAGAAGGGTCTTACCTTTCTTGCTAAAGGATCCATATCAAACTGCAGGGGGAGCCTGGCAGGTGAGGAGCAAGCCTGACTTGTCAGATCGGTTTTAGTGCATTCTTAAAAGAAAATCCTACACTACAGTTCATGCAAGATAATAATATGCTTGCCCATAAAAACCAGGCATTTGAATAAAGCGAACTTAGTAATCAAAGCTTATTACCCACTGCCTTGCTGCCCCTAGGCCAGAATACAGAATGCGTATGTCAACTTCACTTGAGCTACTTTTTTTGTGAAGCCTTGAAAGTTGCTTCGTATTCTGTTCTTTTTAAAGGTACAATACCTACCTGTATCACAAAACCCCAAGGATAAATTTAGCAACGCTTACAGTGCAGAATCATTCTTCATTTTTAGACATCCTTAAAATTACCCTTGAAACAAATTATGACCTTTCCAGAAGTTCTTGTTAAGATTCTTGTGTGATTTGAGTTTATTTTAAAATGAAGGCCTAGCCAAAGTCTCTTTCATTAGGCTTGTGTACCTGCCCTAGGGACCAATGAGAAATTACCAGCATAAAGACTTGTCTGTTGTCGTGCATCCCTTTCTTTTTTTTCTTAAACATGGAGGAGGAGTATATTTACTAGTGTACTTCATACTTCTTTTTTCTCAGTCATCCCAAAAGTTTTTGATGAGGGAGTTGTGTAAGGATTTACAAATGCTCTTAAGTCAAAGTCTTGTTAGTGTTTGACATTATTTAAAGTAAAGTACACAATTATTGGACTGTGGTGGTTCTGGATCTACTATTGAAAAAAGTATTTTGTACATGGGCTAAATCATGATCTGAGGTTGCTTTTTGCTCAAATTAAGGGAAAAAACAAGAGAAACGTGACCCCCACACACCCTCCCAAAAGAGGAATTACTCCTTTGATCATGGAAATCTATTTGAGAAGTAATGCTTCAGTGGGCAGCCATTACTGAGGGATTATTCCCTTCAAACCTCTAGTCTGTTTTTCCCCTGTTCTTGGGTTCTGGGACTCAGCTGAAAGACAAAGGAAGTCCTGAGATGGAAGAAAGCAAAAGGAGAGTCAGATCTGCCTTTGTCTTTTGCCAAGTACAATGATTAATTCTTTTTCATTGTTTACACAAAGAGACATGAAATTACAAAACCTCTGAATTGTTTTTTAAAATCCAATAATAAATTTACTAAATGAAGTCTTTCTCTGTTTTTAAATAGGAGATTGACATTAAAGTAAATTTGCAATTCCTGAGTGCAAAAAAAAGAAAGCTGAATTTAATTTGTGGGAAAGTTTTGGTAGCTGACATTTAGTTTTGTTCAGCTGATGGTTCCTTCTCTGTAGATGACCCTTCCCTCATTTTGGAAGGGTTTTCAATGACCTTGTCTTACACCCAGGAAAGTAAGTGCTAAGCATAACCTCTCTGTGGTTACCTCTGAGTCTTAACAAAAGAATTAGAACTAAATATGTTTTCATCGTCTTTATTGTCAGCCATTATAAATCTTTTTCTTCATATGCCTTGGATTGTTTCTAAGGAAAGCATAAGCTGTTAGAAAGGATTTAGGATATGGCAATGATGGTGCTGTCTGACAGACTTACACAGGTTTTATCAAGCTCTTTTGTCAGTTCGGTTCATGGATTATCTACAGTATGGGGAACAGTTGGCTTCTGAATGCTGGAGTTAAGGAAGCAGCATTTTAGTGTCCTGGGTATAAATTCTATGACTATAAGCAATTGCAGAAAAGACAGCTTTAAATTTAAATCCAGTAGTTTTGCATTTGTTTCCTCATCCTGGTGTTGGTGGAGGAGCCTCTGCAGAAAAGTAAGTAGTCTGTTTTAAAGGCTGGGCTTTTCAGCCCTTTGAAAACTTGCCCCCAGGTGGTTTTCATTAGAATGGCAAATTCCTATCTCAAAGAATGGCATTCAGGAACCTGCCGAACAGGCCAAGCTCTGCCCTCAGATTTCAGCGGGATTGCTTAGAGCAGTTGAGTTTTATCATATATAAATGCCAGAAGGGCAGAGATTTCCCAGAAGCAGAAGGTGTGGTTGGAATTAAATCCTGCAATTGCTGCTCAGCACTAGGGGCTGAGTACTGGAAACCTCTCTGCCACTTTTCCTGTTATGAATGTACACAAGGCCACTGGAGTGGCACACATTAGCTCTGTTCAACTTCACTGGTCCTTCCAGTAGCTGGATTTTCCAGTGTTCCATAAGGAACAAAAAAATGTAGATGTATTTGCTTGAGGGTTTTATTCTTTCCCCCTCTCAGACAACTTCATTGACTTGGGTGGTCTTTGTGGAAGTATCATTGTAAGAAACTATTACCAGCCATGCTATCAGTGCAGCAGAATTTATGATCTGAAGGTTGGGTTTCCCATTAAAGGCTTTGTGTGTAGCTAGAAATGTATTCTTTTTTTCCAGATGAAATATATGGAATGTGTTACAAATACTCTCTAAGCACTCAGATATTTCAGCGTGCTTACTGCCAGTTTTTCAGAGACGGCGCTTTTTGTAGAAGGTTTTTGTCTTGAGGAAGAAGGGTATGATATGAACTTGGATGGGAGATCTGGAGGGGCTTGCTTGAACCCGGTATTACCTGAACTGACATAAAGCCTTGCTGCTTTTCTGCATGTTGACAAAAAGGAATCTTAAGCAATTTCAAAAACCTGAAGAACCTGCTAGAACTCTGGAGAACAAAGGTGACGGAAGACTTGTTCAAGAACATCATTTTACTTACACGGCTGCCTTTCTTTCCACAGCCAGTGGTTTAGCGTACTGAGTCAAGTTCATGCATCCACAGAGCAAGAGATCCGAGAGATGCATGATGAGCAGGCAAATCCACAGAATGCTGTGGTAAGTCTAAATCTGAAGAACTTTTCAGAGTAAATAGTTTTAGAAAACAGGGGCACCGTGGTGGCAACAGCTTCTGAGAGTCACAACCTAGGATTCCTTACATGTGGTCGTAGCTGTGAGGCTGGCTAGAGGCTCCATACCCTTGGTCCTGTAGATATGCAAGAAGAGAGTGTGATTTTGATTCCTTACCCATCATTCATCTTGATGAAAAATTAGTATTATTTTAGGGGTGTTTTTTTATGGTCCAGCTCCCTACCAAAACAGAGTTGCGCTTGAGTTTGAAGTCTTGCAAAGTTACAGTTAATGAGTAAAATAAAAGCACAAGAGTTGAAAATCTGAGATTTTTCTGGTCCTGCGTATAAACTGCATTTATTATTCTGTACAACATACACTGGGAATAAGTGGAATGCATTTGGAACCTAATATCAAACAAGGAGAAATAAAAACTTCTGCTTAATGGCTTCAGAAGTTTGTTCTGAGAGGATGCCATTTACATTGGGATGGTACTTCTAGGTGAAACATTCAAACAGGTTTGGAAGCATAGAAAAGTAAGAGCAGTTTTTGAGCTGCCATCAGCTTAACTAGAGGTAATCTTTTACTGGAACTATTTATCTGAGTTTCTTAGTTTTACCCTTAGCAATTTTAATGGTTAAGAGAAATTGATACCCAAATCTGCATTTCATTTAGCTGCTGCTCCTTTCACCCATGTCTGAGAAGAGTACTGTGAGTAATGTAATAGTAAATGTCTTCCTCCTTTTCTGACTGGGTGTTTATAGGGTACGCTTGATGTAGGACTGATTGATTCTGTCTGTGCTGCTGACAATCCAGATAGGTAAGTCAGAACCATGCCTTGTGACTTTCTTTTTCCCCTTTCTCTAGTCAAAATTGGATGCTTTATAATTTAATCTCTATATTCTACTGACCAACCATGTGTTAAAGTCATTCATTATTGCTTCCCTTTACATAGTACTAAACACCACATGTTAAAACATGGAATAGCAATCACAGAATCATAGACTGGTTTGGGTTGGGAGGGACCTTAAAGATCATCTAGTTCCAATCCCACTACCATGGTCAGAAGCATCTTCCACTAGACCAGGTTGCTGAAAGCTCCATCCAGCCTGGCCTTGAACACTGCCAGGGATCGGGCCGCCACAGCTTCTTTGGGCAACTTGTGCTGGTGCCTCACTATCCACATAGTGTGAAGAATTTTTTTCCTAGTATCTAATGTAAATCTGGGGCTTCACTAACTTCCCTGACACTGCTTTGTAAATGAGCTGTTCAGTTACTAAAGTGATCCAAAAATGGAAGGTTAAATATTTTTTTCATTTATACAAGTAATGCTCCTGGGAAAAAAAAAGCAGCTTATTTTTGAGTCCTTTAGCAATACAGTAGGCAAAAAAAATCATTTTAACATTTTTCTGTTCAGCTTCTCATGCAAGAATGTTGTAGCCTATAGTGATGAGAATTATTTCCCAGAATAAAAATGTCTTGTAACAAAGAAGACAATGCAGCATAAAAAATAACTGTCAGGATATTCTTAGTTCTTGAACTAGCCACAGTGTTTTGGGGGATAAAAAGTAATCTAGATTCAGTCAATGACTCTACATATAAGGTTACTGGCTGTGAGGTGCTGTTTGTACAGTAGGAGTTCATCCCAGTCTCCTCATTGCACATGTGTGAAATAGCTGAGTTTAAGTTACTGGTTTGTCCTTGGCCTCAACGCCACAAGTGACAGTGATTATAAGACGAGGTTTCCTAAACAATAAAACACAAATGTCCAGAGCTTTCAAAATTTTAAGTTGGAATGGCATTTCTCCTGTAAGCATTTTTCACACAGATTCTTTTTCTTGGGTTGGGTTTGGTGGGGTTTTGGTGTGGTTTTTTTTAGTTCTCTGAATCTAAATCAGTGATAGAAGGTTTTTCAACTAGGAAACTAACCTGACTGATACAGATTATTTTTATCTTGACACATATAACCCACTAGTGGAAGCTCAAAGGAGGGAAGCTGAGCAGAGAGCCCTGTGAACCTGTGTTCAGAATGAATCCCAAGAACAGGGCTTCTGTAATTTTCCTAAACTGAGGAGAAGGAGAAGGGAGCCTGAAAGGTTGGCTTTTGTTGGTCATAATCTCCTAATAGTTTGATCTACCCTTGCTTACACCTTAGAGCATGGGGTAGCCTGGACTGCATTGTTCCCATTTTCTACATCTCACAGGTCTAAAAATCTGTGTGTTCCAGGATGAAAAAACTAATGGTAAAGGGTTAAAGCAAGTGTTCGTAGGCTGAAGAACCTGCCTGTCTAATCCAGAGAGCCATCAGCACAGTTCACTTGGGCTAGTTCTTCATGCTTCAGTGAATCCTGGTGTAGGATTGGGTAAAAGCCAGACTCATTAAAAATAGATTATACTCTTTGTAAATTGTAGTTTGTTTTAGCTAATGTAGCTACCGAAGCAGACACTCTAAATAGGCCTGAGCCTGAATTAGAGTTCTGATTCACATACAAAGCTGATTAAAGATTGGGGGGTTTTCTCAACATAGATTTATTTTGAGATATGACAAGTTGAAATTTAATGTAAACTTTCCCACCATTCAAAGCCCTGGCATTTTGGTGTGAATCCAACATAATCAAGTTTTTTCAAATGCCTCTTACTTTTTTTTTTATTTTTTTTTAATTTTTATTTTTTTTTAGGTTTAGTGGTGTTGAAACAAATGCGTTAGAGGTGGATGGATTTTATCTGAATAGATAATGTAGACAATGGACAGTATTTATGGTTATGATGAGTAAGGTATAAACAGCATGTATGTTGATTGTAAAGGCTTTTTCAATCTTTTTTTTACTTTCATAGGCCAAATTCATTTGTGATCATCACTGCTAATCGTGTTCTTCACTGTAATGCCGACACTCCTGAAGAGATGCATCACTGGATAACCCTGCTCCAAAGGTCAAAGGGGGACACTAGAGTGGAGGGACAAGAATTCATTGTGAGGGGTAAGAACAGAGTGGGGCAGTAACAAAGTAAATAACATCTATTAAGGTTCAAAGAGATTGTTCCCACAATACAATCTGGATAATGTGCCAGCACAGGAGTGTTGGAGCCTCATCTCCACGTATGGTGGAGTTTACTCACAAATTAATATAGCTGAAATTATACTCCTGTTGTGCCATGTAAGAAAACTCTGTAATGATGACAAAAGCGTTTTTCTAGGCTGACAAAAGATTATTTTTTTTTTTAATAAAACTTTTAGCTACCTAATTTTGTTCAACTCTGTTTTAAAAACTGTGTGATTCAAATTGTGTCTTTACCAGGATGGCTACACAAGGAAGTAAAGAACAACCCAAAGATGTCTTCATTAAAACTAAAGAAGCGTTGGTTTGTTTTGACGCACAATTCTTTGGACTACTACAAGAGTTCAGAGAAAAACGCTTTGAAATTGGGTACACTGGTTCTGAACAGCCTCTGCTCAGTAGTCCCACCTGATGAAAAAATCTTCAAGGAGACAGGTAATCACTCCTCTTCAAATATGCACTCAGATACCTTCTATCCTACTACTTTACTTAGTCATGCAACAAACAGTGCATAAGAATTTTTTAAATGGATTATTATGGTTGCAGTTTGATGAACAAATAAAGTTCCTAGGTTACTGAGGCATTTTACATGGAATTCTTGTGGAAAACAGCAGTGGCAATGTGTACGGGAGTAAAATCTGTTCTTGCCAACATCCAAGTTGTCATAGACTGACACTGCTGCTGAGTTAGTGTGAACACTTGCATTTACACATCAAAGACCTGAGGAAAGACAAGAGCAGCACTCTCCTCATATACTATTTTATGTGCTGAGGAACTATGAGGACTAACTTTGGTGGAGCAAGTTATAGGGACATCTAGGGTAAGAGTCCTCTTTGTGCTAACCTACATGCTGTACCTGACATGACAGCTCTGCTGTGCATTTTCAGAGCTGGTTTTCAACTTGGAAGTGGCTATTTGCAAATAACAAGTGACTGTTGACAGTCCTATATAATCTCATTGGGGTCACTGACACTTCAAAGAGGCTTTTGCTAGTGAAAGACGAAAACGATTTTCTTTAATTGCTTCTGCTTCATAAAAAGCCCATACAATGATGCAGAGGGAGAATTTGAACTGAAATGATCTTCCTACCATAGTTGTCACATCACTGGTGTGAAATTAATGACTTTTTTGCAGAAGAAGTAGTTGATGCTTTATACCTGTTTGTATGTGTGCCACAGACTATGAAAGACTTGTGTACAAAGCAAGACTCAGTTTTTCCTGTTACAGATAGGGCTGGAGAAGTAGGGCCCATAAGCCACAAGTAGCTAACAGTATTCCATAGTGTTGTCTTATGATCACTTTTGTTAAGATTACTGGATAAAACAGGAGGCTGCATCATGGTGATTGTACTCTGATATTACTCCTAGGCTTTTTTGAAGGAATGAATCTCCTTTAACACCGCAAAATCTGTATTATGATACTTAAGTACTCATGCAACTTCTTAGTTCCTGTACAACTGCCAACATGATGCACAATATAGTATTTGGGGTCTAAAGGAACTACAGTTGTTTTCAGATAGAATTTGGGGTATTTTTAAAGATATGGCTTCTATGATTAATAATTGTTACTGTTGTGCTAGGTTATTGGAATGTAACTGTATATGGACGCAAACATTGTTACCGTCTCTATACAAAATTGCTTAATGAGGCAACCCGCTGGTCAAGTGCCATCCAGAATGTAATTGACACAAAAGCGCCAATTGATACCCCAACTCAGCAACTTATTCAGGATATTAAGGTAGGCACAAACAGGAGGATGTGGGTTGGGAAAGAATGGTTGCTTAAATCCTTTTTATGTTGGCTTTGGCGTGTTGGGCCATAAAGCAGAAAACTTTCGCACAGTGGCATGGACTGAAATTGTGGAACCTGAATGTATTCGCTGACCTGATAAAGGAATTTCTATCTAAAAAGAGCAAAGTATGAAGGGCAATTTGGAGGGCAAGAAGGGGAACTTTTTTCCATGAAAACAGTAACAAGTTTTACTGGTTTGTGTAACTTGACGGAGGTTGCTATACCTGGCAGTAGAGCATAGTGTGCAGGTTCATGAGTTAGCAGACCTGTTTGGCCATGTCCACAGTGAGCAGCACACCAGGATGTGGACTACACAGCTCTTGTGATTTAATTTTTATTTATGGTTCTTTTCTTCTTCTGTGATATTATGAGCTAAGCATCTCATGTCTCTGTGTGATGAGAAATATACTCAATTAATGGTTACTGCTTTATGGTCCTGTTGGAGATACTGCATGCATAGGCAGAGAATGTCCTTCTGGAGATCTCTGCTAATGTGCAAGAGGGGAGAACTGCTACCAGCCTTTTCCCTTGAAGTGCCACCTCTTCTCTCATGGAAAAGAAGTATCAAGTCCTAAATTCCAAGACTACAGATGCTGTTCTTCAGATCATTAGACTGGGAGTTCACAGTAGATACAAGGTAGTGGTCACGCATCTGTCAAACTTGGCCAAAGAACAGAATTTAGATGTCAGAGTGGATACATCAAGTTTACAGCAGCAGTTTTTCTGGACTATTTTGTTACGGTAGCTACTGTAGATTGTAACTGAAAAGGCCAATTAGTTATGCTGGAGAATTTTTTTTTTTTTTTTTAATAAAACTTGAATACAGATCTTTTACTCCAGTATTTCATAACTTAAAATTAAAATAAAATTAAAAATTAATGTAAAATGAAAACACGCTTAAAAAAAATATGAAACTGTTAATGCTGGACCCAAAATCCTACTTTGTCTCTTACCCCAATAGGAAAACTGCCTGAATGCTGATGTGGTTGAACAGATTTATAAGAGAAACCCTATTCTCCGCTACACTCATCATCCGTTGCACTCACCATTACTGCCACTGCCATATGGGGACATCAATCTAAACTGTAAGTTTTTAAATCATGGAAACACTTTGCCTTATAAAAACCTAAACCAGAGGATGGGATTTTTTCTCAGTGGGCTATAGCGAAATAAAAGCAAACAAAATACATGTTTGTAACAGAAATAGAGAGAGATTTCCCTGTTCTCCACTGGGAGGTAGGAAACAGCAGTTTGTCTAGCACAGATCAATGTGCTTGAGGTGCCTCCTGCACATGTGTTACAGAAGGTTGCTTTTGCTGCTGTAATATAAGTTTGTTACCCTCAGCAACACAGCTAAGAAGACTGAGTTTGAAAAGCCTTGCACTGAAATAAGCAGCTGAACCAAATTAATTCAGTGTCCTTGAATCATACTCTCCTCAAATCATTGTTGCTTCCTACCTATGTGAGGAGCTGCAGCAGCCACAACTTTCAATTGACAAGTGTGAGTTTCATCACTTGTGATGGGAAGCATTATTTATGGGAAACAACATTTGAGTGCACATGGTTTTAAAAAGTAATGGTCCATTTACTCCTGAAACAGGTGTAATCATGTCTTCTAATATCCTTAGTTCAATTGCTAACTTAGAAATCTGTTTTGAACGAATCATTCACAGCTATTGATGGTTGTGAATTTGGTGTCTTCAAAAGAATTTGCTTTTGTGACTGTATGTTAAACAAGATATGACTTAAATCAGAAGTTTCATCCTTGAGATGAGGGTAGGAGTTGATTAAAAGCTAAGTCATTCCAAGTAAGACTTCCTGGTAACTCAAGCGATATCCTTCTGCTCAAATGACAAGGAAAATCCTAACAGAAACCTTTCCCTTCTCTTCCCCCTCCTCCTGTGTGGCAAGGCACAGTTCTGATCTTCTTGGCATTTCAGCAGGTTGTCCCACAGAGGAGTGTAGCATGGTTGCTCTTTATTTCCCATGGACAGGAACATCTAGCTCCCTCTGAGGTGGAAGTCCTACCTAAATCTTCCCAATATGAAATGTAGCTCCACAGATGGCCTGATGCTTAGTTATTGCCTTGACTTGCAGTTGAATTCTAGTTATTTTCTGTAATAGTATGCCAGGTTAGAAATTTTGTAACATGCATCTGTACTGTTCTATGCTTTGATGGTTGGTAGGGCTGAGTGATTCAGACATCAGAACAATCTGTTCCATCTCTTGAACCCAAGAACTGCATGGTTCTTTTAAGTAGACTATAAAAGTTGTTAGCCCATGTTGAATAACCTGGAGTACTAAAACAATCATCGCCTTTTCCAGCACTCAAAAAGCAAGTGTCAGCAACATAGCAATGATTTAGTTTAGTAATATTGGTTGGGTTTAATTGAAATGCTACTGCTGTAGACAGGAGTGACATCATGCATCTTTGTAACTTTCTGTAACACAGTCATGCTTTACTTCACTTATGATCTGATTAGGTTTCCACTTTGTTGTGACAGCGAGGAAGGGATAGGCACTCTGGAAGGAAGATTCTCCATCAAAAAAACTCCAGTCAAGCAAGACAGACTTTTTAAGTTATGTTGTCGAAAATGTCAAAGTGGGATTTCATTAAATTCAGAACAAATCTCAATAGCATATTAATACATAAAATGAGTATGCATCATACATTTGAAATGGAAAAGACCCATTCTAACATCTTGCGTAATGAGGGTCACAGAACAGCATTAAGCAATTCCTATATTAAGCCTGAAAGCTTTCCTTGCTGTATCTCAGCCTAAACACCTTCCTATTTTTTTTTTTTTGTAGTGCTGAAAGACAAAGGCTACACAACTCTGCAAGATGAAGCCATCAAGATATTTAATTCTTTACAGCAGCTGGAGTCTATGTCTGATCCCATCCCTATAATCCAAGGTATCCTCCAAACAGGACATGATTTACGACCTCTTCGAGATGAGCTCTACTGTCAGCTCATCAAGCAGACTAATAAAGTGCCTAACCCTGGGAGCGTGGGGAACCTCTACAGTTGGCAAATACTCACCTGCATGAGTTGCACATTCCTGCCGAGTCGCAGCATCCTCAAATATCTGAAGTTCCATCTCAAAAGGTAAGAACCTTTGAATTCCTAAAGCAAGAAAAGAAGTTTATTCACTCACCATTCTATTCACCACAACTTGTAACAGTGTTTAGATACCTATCTTGAAGTGAGACTTGAAGGTGCATTCACTTTGTGAACTAATTATGCCAAAAAATGAATCTAAAAAGAAGTTGTAGTAAATGTGTGCATGAGCTGATCTAGGTAGAATTGTTCTCCATTTGAAGAATCAAACAACATCCCACAAAATTAAGTGTGCTATTTGCTACTGTTGACAAAAGGGGAGCTTTCTGTAATTGTATAAAATTGCTTAAATGACTTTCAGCCCATGCCCCTAGGTCCCATTCTCAGCTGTCCAAATCAACCTGCTAAAAATTCTTTATCCTGCTTACCTTAGTTTTATGAAATATGCATCATGCACATAAAAGAACACTATAAAGATGTATTTGAGGTAAAAATGTCTGTTTGCAAATCTAATTCAAATCTAATTAACCAGAATGTGGAGTTCCTCTTGCTGTGATGCAGCAGAAGAATGAAAAATGTGTCATTAGTAAAGTTAGTCCACTAGCAACAAACTATTCTCAGTAATTTAAAAGCTTTGTCTGTATTTTTGGCAATCACTTTGCTAAATCTGATATTTTATAAATATTTGTAAAATGCTTGTATTGAAGATACATCATTCAACCAAAGTAAGATCAGTGAAAAAATTTCACATCATATTATATTGTTAAAATTCTGTTAAATTGTTAAAATGAAAAATCCAATACTGATTACTTTTTCAGTTTAATTCAGGTCACAAACTGGCCTCCTAGTTAAAAAAATCGTAGCTGATACAACGTTTATAGGTTGATTTCAATATTGTAGATTGCATCTTACAGCATTTCTGTAATACTGCAATAATCTTTTTCTGCCTTTTAGATCATGAATCACTGTCCTTCTTCACAACAATTAAACCTTAGTAGCTCTTAAGAATCTGGTATTTTATCACTGGCAGTATCATAGAAACACTGTATTGAAAGCCACCCAAATTCAACAGTTTTCAATAACTGAGTTAATTAAAATTGTGAGTACTAACAACTTTAATATAATACTTATTAACTGCTGAACAGTAAGGTCAAGAGAGAATCTCTAAGAAAATCAGGATAGAAATCAAGTATCCTAAGTGACACTACCACAAAGTGGAGCAGTCAAGTATGTTTTATTGCTTTTTGGTTTAGCACCTTAGTGCAGTTTAGTCTTCATACAAGAACTGTTACTGACAAAAAGTGGAGTTGATTACAAGGAGATTTTCATAGTTTGTTTTCTCTCAAATCTGAGTCATTGCAAGATTCCTATAGCTAATGATAAAAGTTCACTTTTTTCTTTCCATTAGGTTTGTAGAACAAAATGCTGAAAGTATCTAAGTTATCCCACAATACATCACAAAAGTTAAAACACTTTCCTTGACAGTGGAGATAAATCTTTGACCTTGTCAATAAAACAGCATACTGGATACAGAAGTACTTTCAGGAAAAGCAAACATTCTCAAATAAGAAAACTTTCTATTTCACAAACTGGCAGCTTAAAGTAGTTATATTTGTCTCACAGGGTTCGTGACCAGTTTCCAGGAACTGAAATGGAGAAATATGCACTTTTTACTTATGAATCTCTGAAGAAAACCAAATGCAGGGAGTTTGTACCATCGCGGGATGAAATAGAAGCTCTGATCAGCAGGCAGGAGATGACATCCACAGTTTATTGCCATGGTGGGGGCTCCTGTAAGATTACAATCAACTCGCACACTACAGCTGGAGAGGTGAGAGTGGTGACGGAACAGCTTTGGCACAAAATCAGTGTGTCCCTTTACGTACTCATTCCAGACAGCAGTGTAGCATTAAACTTTGAAAACACTCGGGCCGTCTGTACTGGTCACTCCTTTCAGGGGAGGAAGGGCTTACAGAGCTGTTCCTCCAACACACACCCCCCCCCCAGTGTGTTCTGAAGAAATTCCTGCTATATAAACTGTCTTTATTCTGCAAAGAATTACCCAACTGTAGTTCCCTCTTACAGGAAAAACTGCAGGAAAAACTAAGCAATTCAGTAGGAGCATTATTGGAATAACTTGAGTAGATACTAGTGTGTTTGACAGCCAAGTTGCTTTCTAAAACTGGAACACTCTTGCTGGGTTGGTGAAATACAGGAGTTATATGAGGCTAGGTGATAGCACCTAGCTGTTGATTCTGAAAGAATCAACATTATTTAGTATAAAAATTAAAGTGGGATTTGACAGCAGGTAATACTGCTGATGAGAACATGTTACCGACATTTTTAGCCTAATGTAGAACCTAGCTCTGAATTTTCTTCTAATTATTTGTCTTACTTTGTGGTGCTGCTTTTCCGTGCTATGCTTTTTTCATGTGCTGTTTTTCATTAGGTGGTTGAAAAGTTAATTCGCGGCTTGGCCATGGAGGATAGCAGAAACATGTTTGCTTTGTTTGAATACAATGGAACTACAGATAAAGCAATTGAAAGCAGAACCATTGTGGCTGATGTCTTGGCAAAGTTTGAAAAGTGAGTATGCCTCTGCTTCTCTCTCTCCACTCTAACAAGTAGCAATCAAATAAATTCAGCATTATTGACACTGGAAATTTTCTCTTGTTTGTTTGTGATGATGCAGCTGAATGACACACGTGGCCATTTCTGGAACAAAAGCATCTTTGTTTTTTTTCATGAAGGAATTAATGAGCCACCTATTTACTTGTGTTTGGTTTTTCTGTGTTTGACACCAGCAGAGTGATATTTATCATCACTATTTTATGCACATTTTCTTTTCTACTACTACAAATATTTCCACCATTACTAGCGTTGTGGCTGCCCCAGCACTGGGAGAACTGAACTCCGGGCAGTCATTGCCAACCTTAATACCTATTACCTAACTTCACATGGAAGTCACCACAGTATGGCTCACATTTTTCATACCAGTAAAACTGAAACCACCCATAGAACTGTAGTAAGAAAATGTAATACAAGTCTAAATACCTGTTTGTCATCCTTACGTTACGTGCATGGTAATCGGCCTCATTTGTCTACATAATAATGGAGGGAAAAAGGAATGTCTGAATTGTTGTGCAATTACATTTTATAACAGGACTTAACAGTGTTGTTTTTATCAACACCTGACTGAGCCACAAATGAAAGTTTATTAAAAGAATTTAGGTTAGTAATAGTTGACTGAGAACTGAGTCAGCATTGTAAGTCCCTGATTTTCATGTAGGCTTTAAATACACACCACTACCACCACCCCAAATGACATCAGGCAGCTATAACTGCGGAAAATGCTTAGCTTCTGTCAACAATACCAGATTGATAGCAGATGTAACAAAGCAAAATTCAGCTGCATGCCTTGTTTAGATTCTTCAGGTGTCAATTTAGAAAGGAGCTTGATATCATAGATCTGATCTCTTTTTTTTTTCACACATCTGTGCAGGCTTGCTGCCACTGCTGAAGCTGGGGAGATGCACTGGAAGTTCTACTTCAAGCTCTACTGCTTCCTGGACACAGAAAATGTTCCAAAAGATAGCGTGGAATTTGCCTTTATGTTTGAGCAGGTAAAGAACAGAGGTTCTGGTTTGAGGCATTTTTAAGAGGAGTAAAAAAGCAAGAGATCTAGGCAGGACAGAGCGAGCTTGATTATGCTTCTGTTTAACTAAATGCACTACTATTCAACCATCAAGTGCAAATAAAGTAGTTCAGTGGTCAAAATAGGCTTATCCTGACACAAGTGAAACGCATATGAGTTACCTAGTGTTACGATTTTTCTTCTGTACTACTTGTGAATTGCTTTATGTATAGTGGTAGAAAATTGGATAACTGGGTCTAAGCCACATAAAAAAATAGGATACTACTTGCTTTTCATTTTGCTCTTATGGAACCATTTTCTAAAGAAAGTGCAAGAAATAAAGTGAAAAATGTGTAGTTGGCAAGCAAATTAATTATTAGAGACCCGTGCTGGCAACTGTACAGAATTAATTGAATAATAGTTTTTTCTATTTGAAATCAAAAGCTGATTTCATATATAGGCACCATAATAAAAGAAATCAGTCCAGTCTCAGCAGTAACTGTAAAATTGCTAGGATGAGCAGAAATCCACTTAATGTTCTGAGCTCAGGATGAGGACATACTGTAAAACATAAGTGAAATTGATTTATAATGAAAATTGACTGTATCAACAGTTCGATTTCTATTGTATGAAGTCCTGTAGTTGCTCAGAAACTCTCACTGATGGCATTTACTACTGTTGACTGACCTTCTTTTATATTATATTTCAAATAGCTAAAAATTCTTCCAGTGCACAGCTTCTTTCAGGTGGGCACTAGAAACAGATAGTGATTTCTGTGTAAGGCTATTTGCAATGCCAGGACACTGATGTTCTGTTGGTAAGCAAGCCTGATGTGACCAAGAAATGACATGTTCCAATTTTCATGTGCCTGAAGCCTTGTTCCCTTCCACAGGATCAGAAACATCTTGACTGTAATAGAGTATTCCTTGTTCACAGTTTGGCTTTTCAGGCACCATATTTCATCATGAGTCTACAAAATGTCTTTTTCCAGAGCCTAATGCAGTAGCTCAATCCAGAACTGCTTATTGTTGGCTGAAAGATCTGGGCAATTTATTGCATTAGTTGGGCCTTAAAACATTGCCATTCTGACTGGCTGTTTTTACATAGAGAGGAGTCAGCCAGTTAATGCCTTTGCTTTGGGATGAAGTTCAAACAGCAAGAAGATCCATGAGAGCTCTGCATCAGATATTTTAGATTACATTATTGGTTTAAGAGACGAACGTAGATAGTTCTCTGTGAACAGCTAAAACAAGCACATTCACTGAAGCAGACTGTTTTCATGCAGCATTATGTTCTGACTACTATTTAGCCAAATACTTTGTCTTGCCACAGTATCAATAGTATTTCAGTTATAAAGCATGGCACATTCAATCTCTACAATTAATATTATAGCAATAGCTTAAAGAGATGACATTCTGACATCAGTTCTCTTTTTTTTTCCTAATTGTCTGCTTTTGATGTCAGTCATCAACTTTTTTCAGCCAATTAAGAAAGTTCCCTTTTGTCATCGGTTTCTGTAACCTCCATTATTTTAAAGTTTGAATCCTTTAACTCATGAGGCACTGAAAAAGAACTGAAAGATTTTCTTTCTCATTAAAATACTGTCCTTCCATTTCAACAAGATAGTTTTTTCTTCTGCATGTGTATAATCTCAGGTAGAATATCTTGCATGTTTAAAGGCACATTCTATCTCCATCCTAACTGTACACCTAAATGAACTAGCTCTTACTTAGATGTGATTATCTTTCTGTGTGTTTATTAAACTGCTTGCAATTCCTGCATATCCAGACATGAGGCATGTTTCTTTCTTGTACTAGTATTATACAAAAAGAAATAAAAAAATCCTAGCTGCTGCCCATTTCCAAAGATTTGAATGGTGTGCAAGTGCTAGGATTTTAAAGCAACATCTTTGCTCAGAACCTCATCCCTGATGCTACAGACTACTATAACATGTAAATGTTTTACGAATTTTATCTGGGATCCATTTACTGCTTTCCCCTCAATGAGGATTATTACAAAGCTGTCCCAGAGCTTTGCTTGTTTGGCTTGAAATATCAGTTTTCAGAGCCAGATCACTGATAGCAGTAAGTAAAACTACATACCTATTTTTCTAATGTCTTTGAACATAGAAGGCTTCCTCCCAGTCAGATGTTTAGATTTTGATTTTCTCACTTTTACATTTTCTTCATTTTTTTTCCCTTTTTTTAAAGTAATTTGGTTGCTTTTATATATGTGAGTTCACCAGGGGCTGTACTAGCAACAGTAATTCCCATTTAGCAAGTTCCTCAGTTACCTTGCAGTTCTAGTAAACCCTGTTCCAACACATTTGCCAAGGGATTTACCTCTTTTCATTTATTTAATGGATCATTTATTTCAGATCCTGGGTTTTCCTGGCAGTCAATAGACTTCTTATTTCTCTCTCAGTCCTTTCAAAGATTTGCTTGTATGTAAAAAGCTACTTTTTCCCCCTTGATAGGCTCATGAAGCAGTGATTAGAGGACATTACCCTGCCCCTGAAGAAACTCTCCAGGTCCTAGCAGCTTTGCGTCTTCAGTACCTCCAGGGAGATTACACTCTGCATACCACTGTGCCAGAAATGGAGGAAGTCTATCCCTTGCAAAAGCTGAAGTCTCGCATTACACAGTCTACCAAAACATTTACTGCAGCAGAGAAGGCTGAGAAGAAACGAGCCAGCTTTCTTGAAGGAACATTGCGGAGGAGTTTTCGCAGTGGCTCTGTCAGCAAACAGAAGGTTGAGGAGGATCAGATGTTAGACATGTGGGTCAAAGAAGAAATCTCAGCTGCCAGGACTAGTATTATTGATAAATGGAAAAAACTCCAGAGGATGAACCAGGAGCAGGCTATGGCAAAGTATATGGCTTTGATTAAGGAATGGCCTGGCTATGGCTCAACGCTCTTTGACGTAGAGGTAAGACCTCCTGAACACTCAAACTACTGTTTATCCTGTATACATGATGATTCCATTACAAAGTAGTGAAACCATAAACATGGGATCACAATGCTCAGACAGCTGATGTAAAAAAAAAAAATCAGATATTAAAAGCATACACCCGTTAGCAAGCACTGTAACTATTTAAATCTACTAGTTAACCAGAAAATACAGAGGGACAGAATGCTAGCCTGATGGGTTGCAAACAAGTTTGAGAAGTGTAAAAGGCTGTGTTCAAAGAGGGATAAGCAGTATGCACTTGTCAAAAAATCATTACAGACAAGAATGTTAACAGTAAGGGTTGCGTGGCTCTTGCTGTTCCCTTTGCTGCTAACTTACATTTTCTCCTCTAGTGTAAAGAAGGGGGATTCCCACAAGAGTTGTGGCTTGGAGTCAGCGCTGATGCAGTGTCTGTCTACAAGCGTGGGGAAGGAAGGCCTCTGGAGGTGTTCCAGTATGAACATATCTTGTCATTTGGTGCACCGCTTGCCAACATCTACAAGATCGTGGTGGATGAAAGAGAACTGCTTTTTGAAACTAGTGAGGTAAGAGAAAGAAGGAATTTTGTTATTGTGGTCTTCCTGTTCTGATAGCCAGGCTACTTAGTAATTTAAGTAATTGCTCTAAATGTTACAGATCTATTCAAGATCCCTGTAAAGCTAAGGGAAAGACACAATGAGATAGGTAGAAGTGCTGAGTATTCTTGTTTAACTGCAAAAGGGTTTTGTTGAAAGCTCGACCGTTTTATATCATTATGTCTAAAGAAATTCATTCACATACTGTTCCCTTACTGAGAACTTTGCTCTTTGTACTTTTTTGGCAGGTGGTTGACATTGCAAAGCTGATGAAAGCTTACATCAGTATGATCGTGAAAAAACGCTACAGCACCTCTCGATCAGTGAGTAGTCATGGAAGTCAGGGCAGCTCCAGGTGAAAACAAAACCAGTTCCACTGTGCTCCAAATAGAACATATCACTGCTTGGCCTCAAAACGACCTGATGATAATGATCGCATCTGTTGACAAGCTAACATAGAACCGGAGTTTCCACAGAAAATATCGTCAAACATTGTTTTAGAAATACCACAGGGTGGGACAGGAAAATCATCTGAAATAGTTACATACTAGAACTGCGGGCTCATTCAAAACTTTCCAAAGCATTATTATCTTCAGTTGATGTAACAAATGCCTTAAGACTTGATCCACTGCGATACAAGCAGTTATAAGTGCCTTGCAATATTAAACCCAACTTGTATTGACCTAAAATTGCTGATAAAAGTCAAGAGGAGGTTTGTTGGGTTTTCTTTGATCTTTCAGAACACTGAAAACAAAGTTACATTCATCCATTCTGCACTAATCTACTGGCCTATACACATGTGGGAAGGGGAAGAAGAGCAAGGTATATTTCTTGGAGAGCTGCTGGCAGCCTTCCTGATGGACACCAACATTTTGTTTCCCCTTGCTTCCACAGATGTGCACACTGTGCATGTGTATTTGAGCTGTCAGGAAAATTTGATTAATTTTATTCTGTATTTCAGAAGTCTTTTGAAGCAAAGGGAGTAAGTATGTGCAATGGTGTAAACAGTCCTTCTGTACATTTTAATAGTTCAGAGTTATAGTTGTTACAATTGTAGGGTTACTTTATAAGCAGTTTTATTAACAAATTCCAAAATTTTCATACATTGATTTTACTATTGCAAATATGTATTACCGTATAAGTACCAGAAGTCTGCATTCTGTATCTGCTGTATTATAAAGAGAGATGTAGCTGAGAATATTTATAGATTACCCTAATATGGAAATTATCAGTTCAATATTGCATAATGTCAGCTTGAGGTTTTAATATTAATTTTTTTCTTTTAAAGACATCACCCTTTTATAATTCTGGCTGGACTTGCCAACCCAGACTGGCTGCCAAAGGTCAGAGCCCTTCACAGTCAATTAGAGAACGCAAAGTTATACAACACACCTGCTTTAATACAGAGTTCTCTATTTCACCTGGTTGCCTGATGAAGGTTCTTGACAGTACCATGTAAATAAATTGGGGAATATCAGCTAATAATAAGCTGATTTTGGACTTTTATTTTTGTACAGAAATACTGTAATATAAGGCAAAGCTTTGATCAAAGGTATCTTTTTGTCCACAGCAAAAAAAGAAACCTGAAAAACCTTACTGTTATTAAAAACCTCAGCCTTTAAAGAATCATGCGTACTTACTGAAAATAAAGAAAGTCCAGCAATAAAGAAAATATATGTGGTGTACCATGTTTCCACTTCATAATGAGTTGGACTTGAAACAAAGCTCTAATTTTGTTTGTCTTCTCAGGAGCAAATCCAGGAACACACTGTAGGCTACATGTGTATATGTATATGTTTTTGCTTGGAAAGTGCATGTGCTTTGAGTTGGATGGGGCAGGTTTTCTTGACCATGTGATATGTGTCCGTTACACCGACAGAGGAAGCACTGCTGAGCAGTTCCACTCCACAAGGAATGTGCAAGTCAGGCCTTTGCTATTTGTGTAGCCCTGATGTAAGATGTCTTGTTTTTACTGGGCAGCCACAGCATGGTAGCACAGCATGTGCTGCCTTCACAAGTGTACGTAGCCTTTATAGAGAACAAGGCATGCTATGAGAAATCCTACACCCTCCTCCAACTGGCATATCCTTTTAGTCACTCTATGACACCACACCTCAGTCCTTAAAGGCTTGCTAAATAACACTACTAATTTAATGTTCCCACCCTCCCAGCAAAGGTAACTTAAGAAAGACAAAAAAAATGGGAGAGCTATAGCTCTGGTATGTATAGCTACACACACACACTTGAGTATCTGAGAGTGTAATATTTCTGATTTTATCCATATGCTAGTTATTTAGAAAGAATTTAGCTGCTCTTAGCAAGGCATTCTTGGAATGACATAATTTATACATTTCAGCCAGTGCAGCAAGAAAGTTCAGTTTTGTCTATGTGCTGTTTGTAAACATGTTCAGGGAAGTCCCTAACACATCAACATTAATTGGTCAAAAAGCCAGGAATATACCAGGTGACAGTCATCTTTAGGGTCATAAGCTGACACCATTTCTCCAGTCCCAGTTCATTTACCTCCTGACTGACTTATGAATGGTGACAACCGTTAGGAGGGATGTTTGCTCTTAGTCAATACACAGAAGTGCCTTTCACTACATCTTAAGAGCTTCTCTTCATTCATGCCGCTTCTGCCAACCTGCCATGAGAATCTTATTTGCTGTTGTTGAGGCAAGTAAAGTATTTCATAATTGTTGATACAAGCAAGAATGCACAGTTTATAAAAATAAATACTGCATATCCGATACATACGTGGGTTTGGAAATGAGAACAGTGTTCCTTAAAGGATAAAATCTTTAAAAAATTGATTGAGGAGATGATCTATTTTTGCAAATTATTTTGCTTCAGGAAAAGCTTATTCCAAGAATACATGAGATTTCTTGCTTGAGACAGATATTATCTCTGGCATATATTATGGTAGCATTTGAGTTTTTCTGAAGAGAGGGGAGGAACTTCTCACAGAATACATTTTTCCTTTTATTCTTGTTTTGAAATAAAGGTTTGTGAAGAACATTATAGAGGCTTACCACTACTTATAAAAGAAAGAGTAGATCTGTACTTCTGGAGAGGCAATGCTACGCTCTATAAGTTGAGTGCATCAGAAATCATATAGAACCAAGTAATAGAAGCTAAAGGGTTTTAGGAGAAAAACCCTGCCTTACTCAGTCCCTCCAGAGAGAAGTGGAATTTTACTGTGCATGTTGTGGTTTTCAGGATCTGCCAATATCTTATTTTCTGAGAGAATGAAGAGCAGCAGTTTCTGCTCCACTGCCACTGGGGTGCTCAGCTTATGCGGCCCTGCAACCTAGTGGTTGTGCAGCTGCAGTCTTCAGGACTGGGACCAGGATGGGCCCCAATTGCGGCGCTGCCGCTCACTCAGCTCCAAGAGATCCGCTACCCCCAGGCAGTCACACTGACCCTGTCAAAAACCAGCTGGGAGCACACATTGGGTTCCCACACACTCAGACTGTGCCTGGTCTAATACAGCCACAGCAAGGAAAGCCCCAGGACCACACTGGCCAGACATGATGTGAGAGCCAGGGCTGGGCAGAAACTGTGCAGTCCAGTCTAGAAATGGAGCAGCAGCTGCAATGGAAATACAACTGGATATCATCTTAGCACGCCTTAAAGCTGGCCATGCCTCAATTCTACCTATGTCCTCAGGCTTCAGTCTAGCACTTTCCCTCTGCCTTTTAATACACATAGATCCCTTTGACAGGGTGCCAGAATTGTTAATAAACTTAATTACACAAGCTATGCCGAGGAAATTGCTTCACCCAAGAAGTGTTGCATCAGAAACCTAGGTTTCAAGCCCCACATTTCTGAGCATGCGGCTGTAACAGGTACACACAGGTTCACACCAGTACAAACACCTAGCATAGACATGCCACACCACTGCAAGTCATGCTGGCCTAATAGATGATAGAGGAATATTGCTACCAGCCGTGCTGTGACACAACCATGCCTTCACAAACACATACACACAAAGGGCTGCGAGGTGGCTGCAGGTTGTGGGGACATGCACTTGCAATTAGTTCATGGACCGTTCAATCTATCTACTCCTATTTTTTTCAAACTCCTAAGTTGTTAATGCCAGTTAAACTCGCATCACTAGCAAACATCTAATAAATTTCAATCTTTAAGGAATCCACTGGCAAAACTTCCCACAACACGTCACAACAGACACAAGGCTTTTGGTGCAGTTACGTCAAAACCACCACATACTGCAACAGCTACGAGAAGCAAGCAGAAGAGGGCAGCAGCGGTCCAAAGAAGTGAACTACACAGCGAGTTGCTCCATCCATAGCATTCCTTTACCTGGGCTTTACCAGCAGACAACAGTGTGGGGCAGGAGAACAAAACAAAGGAGAAGCGGATGGTACAGTGTTCTAAACACCTTACTGTTGCTTTGTAACAACAGTCTAAAACTCTTATCAACTGAAAGTACTTTACCTGTATCTCACAATCTCACTAGCCCTATTCATAGCAACATTCTTTAAATTCTGCACAATAAAGATAGAAGGAAAAAGGACCAAATTTAATCAATTTACAAGATTCCAACTAGTTCTTGAGATTAGTTCCCAAGTATATGATATTTTATTTCATGTTGTTACATGCCATTTCTCTTACTCCTATCCATAAAAGCATTCCTTTAGGATTATTCTACCTAGTTTTGCTTCATACACATCAAAACACTGTTCTTACAATTGTGTTGCTAATGAAAACATTTGAAAGGATCTCAAATCCATCCCTAGTAACAAAATTATTCCTTAGTGATTTATATGGTTACAGTCCCTTAATAAAAATTAATAAAACCTTTTGCCACCTTTCTACTCATTTTTGTAAGAATTCATTTATTCTGTATCTTAAAGCAGCAACTTTCAAACTTTTTAGATTACTTCCTTTTTTTTCACAGTTTCTTTTTCCTTTGCTGCTAGTCACTCACACACACCTTGGCAGCCCTGAATCACACTCCTGGTATTTACCAACTGACCAACAATAAGATCACAAACATCCTCCCATCTGACTGTGTCAAAATTAAAAACCAGTAGATGTTGATGAAATCCCATCTTCAAGATGTGTTTTCTCAATTTTAAAGAAGGATCTTATGTGCACTCTGGGAAATTCCTATATAAAGGAGCCTGCGTCTGAAAGACACTTCCCTAACTTTTTTCATACATGCCCCCTCCTGAGAGAGTATTTCCCCCTACACGCTACCACAGTCAGTTCCAGGCGTGGAGCCACAATCCAGTTTTCTCTAGCTAGGAATTACCCTAGTCCCCACCCCCACTAGAAACTTGACAGTTTGCTAAACCCAACATTACACCTAACTGTCCTCTTCACAGATTGCCAAGAATTTCTACCTTGTACACTCAAGTGAAATTCCCTCTTTGCTATTATCCCTTCCCAGAGCACGCTGATACATCCACTGCCCTCATCTAGCCTTAGCTGTGGAGACCACAATTTGTAGCCCTCTCCCTGACAGCAGCTGGGAATGCAATTCTGGCTACCCACACAGCAAACATACTCTCCCCATGCTCAACTGCTCTCAGTTTTGTGTCCCTCATGCTGCTTCCCACCTTGAAAGCCATGATCTCTTGAACTACAGCTTTTAAAGAAAGCAGTGTCAAACATCAGCTCTTGACAAATCACCCATGTAGCACGCATCTAAAAACTAAGTTCATAAAGTCAATGTAATAATCAAATGCATATAATTACTTTCTTCTACACAATAATAGTTAAGACATTGTCTAGTTTTACCACAAGACTAATAGTTTTGCTTAGATCCCTCTCCCTACAAATAAAGCCAAAATACTAATGTACAAATCTGCTGATACTCAGCAATTTTAATTCTTCCTTGCCAATGACAGCTCCTGCATGAGCTAACCTCTAAAACCTTACTTCTAAACAATTGCTGGGTTAGAAAAAGTTGCTGGCCTGCTTGGCCTCCTCTCAGATGGAGTTGACCAAAGAGTGGCGCTAAATCTATAAAGTCATTATTGACTGTCTACCATATATATTCAAGCAGATAATGCTATCTAAGAGATTATAGTAATTAGGTCCAGAATTAGATCAATAAAAATCAATCATTGATCTTCTACATGGCATGATTAAACAGACAAAAGAGCAACACAGTTTGGTGTTGAACAGCTATTGTATATATTATTGTATAAAATTTTAACAAGATTGCTGTTTGATAGTATTTCTGAGCTAAAAACAAATGGTTTAAGTGGTTTCTTAACTGGCTTGGCCATAGCTGTTGAGTTTGTCAACACACATTTTCTTCTCTAAATTCCTTTGTCTCAGGTCCTAAACAGGGATTAAGAAGAAGCATAACCTATCAGTGAAGGAACAAAAAATCACCAAATAGTAATATTTGTTGATAAGAAGCAGCAGCAACATTCATATAATTTCGTTACTTCTGTTATATTTTTCATCTTATACCACCAGGTAGTTTGTATTGGGTTTGCATGACAAGGGTTTGGTAGCAATGGGGCTACAGAGGTGGATTCTGTGAGAAGCTGCCAGAAGCTTCCTCCATGTCCAACAGAGCCAATGCCGTCCAGCTCCAAGACAGACCCAATGCTGGCCAACGCCAAGCCCACCAGTGACCGTGTTAGTGTCTATGAGGTAACATATTCAAGAAGGGGAAAAGTTACTCAGCAGGAGCAACAG